AGGTCATGTGAAGAGGAGATGAAAGCATATGGGCAGACTTGGAGCGGGGCGAAAAAGTTGGCAGAAAACAGAAGGCAATGGAGACGCGCGACTGAAGCCCTATGTTCCTCTAGGAATTAAAGGATATTATAATAATAATAATGTTCAACGTGAATAACCTTCATTATAGCTAATTCACAGTTTCATCAAAATGGACAGTTTATTTTGATGAGTGAGCATTTATCATTGCACTGTTCATATGAATATTGATTAACAGATAAATAGAATAGAATAAGAATAGACAATTTTATTCTACAAAAATTCGTTATCTTTCTTTCTTCGTGTACAATGATTACTGTTCACTAATTTGTTTTCTGTTTTTTTCTCCAGTGATAATCATGCATTATATGCTTTTATCTTTTCATTATTACATCTTTAACCTTAACTCTTGATTTGTACTCACTTTACATCTTGGCTTTTCTTTTTTAAATCTTACCACTTTTAAACCGATTACGTAACAAGTTGCGATAATTTTAGGTTCAATTTGTGCATGAGTCTACATTTTGTTAGTCTGCCTTCCCCTCCCCACCTCCCACCTACTATGTATTCATCACTGGTTTTAAGAAGACAGATGAACTTTTGCAAAGTTATAAACTCATTACGTCATCATTTTGGATGACGTAATACTCACGTCATCCCATCTACAAGTTGATATAATTTTTTGATGAAATATTTATCTATTGATTGATTTCAATGTTTGATGACAAATTGAGTTCAGTGACGCATTAAAGGATGAAAATGTTAGAAATTCTAGTGAGAAGTCGTGAGCATTAGGGGCCTAACAAAAATAGCCATGATGACAGGTACATACCGATAATACTGAATAGAAGCCATGCGCTAATTATCGTGAATCGATAGAATTTAGAATTTTAACCGGAAAATTTTCGGTTCCAACCTTGATGATTCTCAAACTCTTGAAAAATAAATCTAATGCTCCTTAATGACTTGATACCAGACGGAATATCTTGGAGTTCTAGTGAGGAGTCGTGACAAGTGAGTTCCATCCAGTTGGAAGTGAGGATGGATTTCCCCACCGAAAAGATTGGTTGCTGACAGTCGCGCTAAATGCATCATGAATTGGTAGAAGCTAGAATTCATAGGCTGGCCATTGAATCATGTGCCGGTGGCTGAATGGTATACGAGCTTGCATTGTAAAGTACTGGGTTCGAACCCCCCCCCCGCCGCCAGTGTGGATGCGTACTGACGATGAGTCCCAGTCTAGACTGATGAAACAGCTCTCCAGTACTCTAGTGCTGGCCATTCAATGGTTCCCTGATTGATATCAATCCGTGGTGAAACTCAAGAATTTAGAAATAATGGGTCATTGGATTCCGTCTCATTGGTTGAATGGTATACAAGTTCCCCTTGTAACTTGAAGGTCCTGGTGGTGGTGTTATGGGTGCAAAACAGCTGTCCAGTGTTCCCTGGCTTTCATTGTTTCTCCAACATTTATCAATCTATGGTCAAAACTCAATTCTAGATGACGTTATTTTAGTTGACAGTGGCCAACAATGCAATTGAGTAAGCATTTCGTCCTTTTTTCAGACTCTTCAGCTAGATATACCTGCAATGCCCGGTGAGCTTTGAAACCAACAATCATCGTTTCAGGCTCCACAGTGTTATTAGACTACAAAAGCCACCTCTTTTTTTGCAACGAATATGAACTTCGTTATATACGTTGGTGAACTAAATGTCTCATTGACAGTTACGTCCAGAACTGGCTGTTCCAAACTAAATGTTTTTTTTTCAAACACAAGCGAGTGGCCTAAGCCGACTTACTCTACATTAGTGGTCCGTAACCGGTGGTAAGTTGACTAATACGGAACCAATAAAAGAAACCAGTGTGTGACCAGCTTCAAGAAGTTGTCCCCTCGGCTCTGTGGTATCTGTTTCAGGTACCTGGTATAGGCAGCCGGGAAGGAATAACCGCCCACACACTTCGAAAAGGCACACGAAGCCCTCCTGAGTATCATTCTCCTTTATCCACATCACCAGTTACTTAGTCAGTCAGTCGACTAGCACCAGCTCACCAGCCTCACTACCAAGTAGACATCAAGGACTAGAATGAAAAGGTTATATGCTTTTGTGAGCAACTAAGTTTAGGCATTGTGTGACAAATCGTGCAAACTTCAAACATGAATAACCATCCAGTGTTTATCAGTGACGATGAGGTTAGAGGTGGAATTATCAAAATTCTAATAGAGAATCGTGATCAGTGAAAGGTTGCCCACTGATGATACCATGTGAAACTTCTTGGTGTATAGCTAGTTTACAACGCTATCCGATATACACCCTTGGAGTTTGAACCCACAAATGAAGGATGACACGTTTCCCTCACGATATGACTTTATCCTACTTTGTATCAAGGATACACTGTATGTAAAAGATCATGGAGGAAGCAGACTGTTGGTGTCCCTGCATTCTCATTTGTTCTGACATCAGCTGGTGATCTAAGCTAATTAGTCTTAGCTTAAATCCCTCTAAATGTCAGACAGTTAACTTCACATTAGGGCATGAACGTGATCTATAAGAATTGATTCGTTCACGAGATGTTTGTAGCACAGAGAGCACTGAAATAAAAAATATAAGTCAAACATGAAATATCTTGGAAGAGTTCTATCTTCTGATGTCCCATGGTCAGTCATCTCATATCTTGTCAATTTCTAGGAACATGTTCCGTCTAACCTTCTACATTAAGAAGTTAAGACAGTCAGGTATCACTCAACCTCTACCTCTACCCAGCTTGTTAAATCTTGTGTCTTGTGACTGTTGCTTTTTATCGCTCCTATATGGTCTTTCTTGGACTATTTAAAAGGGATTATGTCATACTGTTACCGGTATTGAAGGTTGTTAGTACAGCAAGCAGTGTACTATTAAGTCGGCTAGGTTGTTACTATTGTGGTCTACAGATGCCTGAACTCCTGTAAGAGAGAGAGAGACGATCTATGTCAATACTGTCTGTGTTTCAACACTCTGTATCTCTCTGTCTCTATTCACAACGCTTCCCCTCTTGCATCTGATCTATTTAACGTGACCACTTTCTATGTGACAGAGATAGTGTGTTAAACGTGAAGTCTACAACTCTTACTGTGTATTTAGCAAAATAACTGGCACTTGGAATTTCTCCAATCTGTAATTTATGGTACTTACTTACTACTTTACTTCGGCTATCTCCTACGGGAGGATCAGCCGGCTTCATGAATAAGAGTTCATGAGGTTTCATGTGAATTGGGTACGAGTGATGTCCCCAGCATCGCTCGGCCTTTTGTTTGAGAGTGCAGGTCTACTAGCCTTTACACAACCAAGTGTGACCTGCAAGGCAGTAGGAGTGGAGTAGGGAGTCCACTATCCATTGGAAGCCAGCCGGTGACCGGAGTCCGGTTCATACGCCTTTTTGAATGGGGCCAGACATCCAGGGCATCCAATAAGCCCTTTGTCCATACGTCTGCCGGTGAGCTCCGGTGAGCTTCATACGCCAGTCGTTGGGGTTTGAAATCAGAGTTTATCCATCTCCCCTAGACTGTCATCCAATGGACAGTCAACCCGGTGAAGAGCGCCGGGCATCCGCTTTTGCCCTCTCACTTCGGTGAAAAACACCTCTGCCACGTGAAGGCAGTGAGTAGGACTTCTCAGGAGAGGGTATGTAAGACGCCCGGTCATATGGGAGCATTTCAAGAGGTGTACGGAGGGGTGGCCAACCCGCAGCGCAAGGCATTATTTCAATTAATTTGTAATTTTAGCTATTATTAAACATTAGTAAACAAAACAAATGTGTTCAGGTAGACATAGTAGTCGATAAAGGCTAAGAAAAAAAATAAATGAACTGATTACGTAATGCTAGATTGTAAAGGAAGTAAATGAAACGCATGTTTAATGAAGATGTAATAAGATTAAGGGATGATAAGAGAGGGGTTGAAAATATAAGGGGGGGGTTGGTTGAGAAGTTATCAGTTGGTTATGTCTTAATAGGCCAACAAAGGAGGGATAATGGCGGTAAGAACCTCTTTTGAATGCTTAGTTCAGGTTTAATAGTTAGAATGCCTATCGCGTGCCTCAGCTGTGTGCACAGTAGACGAATACGAAGTCTATTGGAAAGATTCGGTGGGATACGATGAATTATTTTGAAAGCTTTCGTTTTCTCCACACTACATAACCACTATCAACAAAATGTGACAAAAGTGAGCTACGGATTGTTTTTGTCTGTCCTTTGCCAAACCACAATGGGAGATGTTCACTAATACGTTCACGCTGCAACAGCCCATATCATAGAATGAATTATTACAAATGTGAGGTTGTTTCGTGAAGAAACCTGAAATAATTCTCCTCAAGCTTGTACAAACACAGGAATTCGATGTCCCTGTCCTACTTATGGAGAAAATACATATAAAATGGTGTCATTTTCACTCAACTTCACACTACATTTACATAAAACTGACCACGAAGTGACATCTGCTAGAGATTTACAGAAAGCTGAGGAGAAATAGATCAAACGTTTCGTCCCAAATAAGTACTCTTCAGAAGTTTCTAATCAAACTTGAAACTGACCAAATCCACTCAAACCGATTTTCGATAATTAATCTGGTGCTCACTGATGACTGACTGTGAGATCGAATTCCTAAAGTTCTGGTAAGGAGCTATGACCGGTGGGAACCCCAAAAGGATTGTGAGGACAGATAATCGCCGACATTTTTCAGCCGAGCTTTATATCGCGACTTGACAGGAGTTAGGGTTCCGCCCAACTTCTCAAGAAAAGGTCAACAGATCCACCTCATGGTTTAAGAGTCCTGGACTCTATCCCTAGTGGTAAGGAAACGCTGCGTACTGATGAAGAGCCTCAGTGTAGGATGAAACAGCTAGATGTCTAGCACTCTTCTCTAGTTTTCAGTGATATTTCTAACTGATATTAGTTGGTTCATATAAATCAACGCTTGAAAAAGGGTAAACAAAAATGTTTGACTCACTAGTGTATTTGACTTTTCAGGCAAACTATAAGTTTTCGTATCATTCACCACTACTGCTGCTGTACTTGTATGATTCAGAGAAAGTTTACAGTTGGATTCACGTTCTGCCAAACGTTTTTGAAATTGTAACTCTACATGTAATCTATCCAGCGTTGGACCTAAATCTAATCGATTGTCTACACGTTGTTGTGCTTCTAATTCTGCAATTTCTGATTGGAGAGCCAGAACACGACTTGCCGCTGAGCCAAGACCGGTCGGAGATGAAGACGAGTGTACGATCGGTCTGTTTGAGTATTTTGATAAGGAAGATTGATAATTATTGTCTGAATCAGGTTTATTCGTTATTGTTTGTTCCATTGGCAGTCTCGAGGATGGTAGATTGGTTGAAGAGGGCTAAATTAAACAGAATGGTTAAATATATATTTATATATTATATTGATTATAGAGTAAATATATTTCGTCATTGAGAGAGAGAGAGAGAAAAGTAAACTTGCAACCCGCTTCCATTCATCAAGATGCATTTTCAAGTGTCAATTTGATGATGGACTGAAATTAGTTAGAGAAGCATTGGAAAACAGCAGGGAGTGAGTACTGGAGATAGCTGTATCGTCCTGGTTGGGAACTCTTCGGCAGCAGCTTTCACCTATGACTCCATCACTGGGGACTGAACCTAGAATAGCGAGGTCGTAAGGCAAGCTCGTTAACAATGCGACCACTTGGATTGAATTCATGGGCATTAGGTTCTATTCATAGTGTTGGGATTATGACTGTGTAATGATGAAGAGTCGCCCTCCATGTATCACACAAAGCAAGAGATCAGAGTAAACAGGGATTCAAATGAGAGATAATAAACAGAAGTGTTAGTAAGGGAAAAAGAATGATAATAATATGGAAGAACACAACAGACTTTGATTGGATATTATAAACGAATTTGAGCCAGCCGCAACATGAATTATCTCCGGCTATCGATTCTTGTCAGCCCGAGGACCTCAATCAGACAAGCAGGAAGTCTACATCTCCTTAATTGGCTACTTGGCTTAAACTAACTGCTGTAGATTTTATTGACTGATGAAGCCAACCATGTTTTGTTTTAACCACCACGTGCTAGCTTCTTACCAACCTGGTTGTCAGGAGAAAATCGCATGCTAAACACTCGAAGATTGCTGCTCAGCTCAAAGTGTTCAGAAGACTCTTCTGCAGCTATTCAGCGTCCTAACTTCGGAGGGAGGATTATATTATCTGCACATTCTAAGTCAACAGGATTATTCCCTGATGGTAGCAAGTCGATTCCTGAGTCTCTGAAGTGAGTTAGGGTTAAGTTCATTAGTACACATCTATGATGAAATTTAACAGAAGTTATGGAAATCATAGACTATTGTTAGGTTCAGTACTCAAAGAATTCTGTACTATATTTTAAAATCTTGTGTGGAATAAATCTGTTAGACTATTAAACCCATTGATCAGTAGACTTCATTGCTTAACGCGGATTTCAGTACATTTTCTTATTCATCATTCCCGAAAGGGAAGCGGCGTGTTGATCGTCAGTGCTAGGGTGGCTATTGGAAGAGGTCATGTGAAGAGGAGATGAAAGCATGTGAGCAGACTTGGAGATAGGTGGAAACTCTAGCAGAGAACCGAACGTGATGGAGACGCGCGACTAAAGCCCTATGTTCCTCTAGGAATTAAAGGAAATAATAATAATAATAGCGGAGTGCAACTAAACATTTAAGGAACTGCAACGATTTATTGAAGAAATTGAGAACATTGCTTCTTAGTTTTCCATGTCTGTCTGTCTGTCTGTTTTCGACGTAGAACTTTGCACAAATGTGCGGAAGTTCAAGTCGCCACACTCCGTGTAGCACGTGAAGCAAGAGAAGAAAGTACAAGAAAAGCATAATAGAAACAGTGAGCAGAGGTGTGAGACAAAGGAGGAGTAATAACGAAGAACAAAACAGTTTCATTGGAAATCATAAGTCACAAGGAGTGGATGCATCTGCACTGGCCACTGAGAACGATTTTGAGCCATGTCACCAATTGTTTCCAACCATTGGTTTTTACCGTCCCGAGGACCCCAACCACGAAGCCAGTCTACACCTTCTTATGTGGCTTAGACTAACTGTTGTGGATTTCATTGACTAGTGCCGCCCTTTGGTCGATAGCCAGCCGGATATCACTTCTACGCCAGAGACGGCGTAAACTGGCAAATGCGAAGCTAGCCCCCTGTATCCGTGCGGAGATTTCGTCAGAGATCAACCAGTTGGCGTTGGCTGATGGTACTTCCCAAATAAGTGAAGTGGTGAACGTGCTCTACCACTTCACTTCCTATTTTTAAACTGCTACCTTGACGTGGTGGTCGGGCTTTATTATTATTCCCATTATCCATATTTTATTACCACTATATTACTGTTTATCAGTAACATTGCTTTTTCATACAGATTTTATATAAAAGCACTTGATCAACTTTCCACTAGTTCCTGTCCATTCTACACTAGCTTATTGATTAGTCATTATCTCACACTTATTACGTCATGCCGACTTTTGCCTCTTTTCTAACTTACAATTAGTCATCCCGTCTAGGTTGCACCTTTCATTATGTAATACATTTTCCGAGGACAAAGTTCACCAGTATCTGATTGGTCTAAAGATTTCTTTGCTAAATATGTGAATACGATTGATTTTACAGCAGGTTATGAAAATGAATCATCGAAAAGGGGTAAAATTTTCTTCGCTGTTTACGCCTTTTTCTTATGACTCAATTTAAATCAGGTTCTATCTATGAATATAAGTTTAGCTACATAGTAAGCTCCATTGAGTGACACCCTAAGTCTTCGTTTAGTAATCAGTATTTGGTAGTCCTTCTTGAATGGTGGAGATATGTAAATGTCCTCTCTGAGAGTTGGTCGGATCGATGCACTCCTTTATTGGATGCTTTTGTAGAGTTTAATTAATTTCAGGAAGGCGGTCCCGACCGAAAGCTGCTACCTTGACGTGGTGGTCGGGCTTGAACACCACAATGTCCCAACAAGCTATACTGGCTGAGACTTATGTCTCTTGAGGTCCTACCATGCCAGGAAGGTTGTTTGGATAGCGGTTAAACAAAAAGCAGCTACCCAATCCAACATCATGATGCATACAAAATCACAAAATTTCATTCCGGATCTGCGGTGGACCGATTAACAACGACCGCGCTTCCTGCTGCCGTGTCACTGGACAGGAGTGATAAGTATGCTACTGAGACACACAAAACAACAAAGAACAAACAAAAGCTTTCCATATAGCCACTGAACGCGTATAGATTTCCGTTATCAATCACCAAATGACATATATATGCTAAGTTTATTGAAAGCTGTCAGTCAGAATTTTCCATATGTAATCAATAATTTAACGTGTCAATTAGCTGAATAACCACATTGTAAACTCTCTCAGTGAGCAAATTCTTTTTTGGAAAAGCACCATATTGTATGTATGATGACACAGTAGAGTTGGTAAGATTTATAGGTAATTGATGGATAGTGACTAGCAGTGGAATCAATCCAGGATAACGCGCATCTCACCCTCCTATTTGAGACTCGTCTGCTGGCTGGATGTACATGCATTCCCCAGTGAGTGATGATGTTCCCACCGATGCTCAAACCCAGAGCCCATATTTACAAATGCCAAGGCGTTATCCACTAGATCACCACTAGGGACACGAGAGCCACCTCTTGTGCAAAGGGATGCGCATTCTGGATTCCACTGATAGTCACCATCTACCAGATAACTTCGGATTACATGCCCAGACATCGTCGAAGCATCTGAACAAGAAGAAACCGACATGTCAACCTGAAGCCGAGCACTTCGGTCCAATCAATCGACGGAAAAAAATATAAAATCGGTATGTTTCTAAAACTGTTGAATTTCGATTGCGGTAAATGGATACCTGAATGGACTCCGGCTTGTTCCCCTAAAGCACTAATGTTGCTAATAAGTGGAACAAAGTCCACGTTACAATTTCATGACAGATATCCAATGCAAAGTTGCTTGGAACCCAGTTTCATCAGCCTGATACATTATACTTTCATACATTTTAAGGTCACTTGACTTCAGTCACCTATGCGACTACGTCGAGCATTCTAAAGATCACTATATAGATTAGAATGTAGGGAGATTAGGTGTTCAGTTATATCTAACCTCCACGGTATTCAAATTGAAAAATAAACTGTATAAACAAATGAATGGGTGACAATGGGATCAAGAATATCCTCAGTAGTGGAAGACATATTTATGAATAATTGGGAACCTTAAGCTCTTAGAAGGTTTAATCCGGCTCCTCCTAGGTTAAGGCGGAGATAGACGTGGATGAAACATTCACTACTGTGTTGAAATCTGAATATATCCCGCAGTTTTCCACACATATAAACTCAATAGTAAACGGAATAACCAATTCACTTCTCAGTTAGAAAAGGAACAGGATAAGTTGGCCATGCTAGACTGTAGAATAAGACGAAAACAAGGTGGTGGGTTAAACACTGGCATTTGTAAGAAATCGACGCACACACACACCAACTGTACCCTACTGGTCGGGTGTGAGGACAAATGCTCGCCACAGATGACATTAGTTAGCGGTCGCGCTATGTCGTGAATAGGCAGAATTTTAGTATTCATGGACTGGTGATTGGATCGGATCCCAGTGAGTGGCTTAATAGTCTACGAACTAGCTCGCCTTGCAACCAGAAGGTCCTGGGTTCAAACCCTGGGGGTGGGGGTGTGCGTACTGCTGAAGAGTCCCAAACTATGCCAACGAAACAGCTGTCTGTCAGTACTCTCAGGTGGTTTTCCAGTGTTTCTCTAACTGATGTCACCTCGTGATGAAATCCTGTAACTAATCAATCAAATCCCCCTACAAATCGACACTTGAAAAGATAGGTTTAGTTAAATATTTATATAATGGGTCCAGGAGCCTAACTAGTAAGCCAGAAGATAAAAATAACGAAATCAAACAAATAAAGGAAGTTTAATTGGATGGAGGATTTCATCATGAGCTGACATCAGTTAGAGAACCACTGGGAAACCAGCTGGGAGTACTTGACATTCAGAGATAATAATATTAGTGTTATCAATCAAATGCAATCAGATAAGAAATAAGACGAGTGTTTTTATAGTTAAAACAAGTAACTTGTTAGAATACCATGATGTATGTGAATTAAAATAGAATTTTACGATTATTTATTATCCTCTTCTGACCTGACTGGCGGTAATAATATCTTCCATATACCTGGTATTTGCATTGAGTCATTTCTGTTGTATGTGTTGGGTGTAGATTCACTAGATGGACCAGGATTCAGTAATCAATCCCTCTCTCCACCTACATAGATTACTTCTTAGAACCTTAACCCACTCCTAGCCTATTGTTTGGTTTTGTGTTAATGTATGCAGTGCTATTGCTGAGCTTTTTTCTAAATTACTCATCTTCTCGGGGTCAGCCATTCTTACCTTAGCTAACTTCTTATATTTCCGCAATCTGACTACTCCTGACCTACTAGTTTGACCTATGTAGTTGACCTCACTCACAGTCATTGCAAGGTATTTTGTAAATTATACTATTTTGCCTAATTCGGTCAACTGGGTCCTTTAACCTACAGAGCTTGTCCTGTCTGAGTGAGTTTGTAGGTTTGAAAGCCACCCTAATTCCTGCTTTATTGAGAATCCTACATAGGGAGGGCCTCATATGTCTCCTCCCTTCTTATATGGTAAAACTACTGTAAATGCCCTACAAAAACACTAGAAATATCCATCTGTGAGATAAATCTCTGTCCAATTATTACGTCAAGTTAACAGTACTTCAAAAATTCGTTGAATTCAAATAGTTTTCAAGATATTCTACTATAGTTACGTTGGCAATAATCTATCAGATCCTTAATTTCTTAAAATACAGCCTATACCACCCTGCCTACAGACAGGGTAGGAGTACTTTAGACGCTGCAGCCGTCTTATACAACAGTATCGTCTCATCATTAGATAAAGGTGCCAAATACGTCCGCTGCACGTTTCTTGACTTCACCTCTGCTTTCGACTCTGTACCTAGATGTCTCTTGCTAAATAAGCTCTCCATGACAGAAACTGAGTCCTGGGTCACTAACTGGTTGCATTCCTACTTTTCAAACAGAATGCAGTACACCGTATACAAAGGCAAATCCTCCTCTGCCGTGCTCACTAAAGCTGGTGTCCCCCAAGGTACTGTACTCTCCCCACTTCTCTTTTCTTTATTTCTACATGACCTACCATCTTCAAATGACATTAACTTTGTTAAATATGCTGATGACCTAACTGTATCTTTGCCTGTCAGATGTCAAAGTGACTGCTCTATAAGAATTTGTTCTCTTGAGACGTAGGCTTTCCGTAGAGCACACCTCCGATTTTCTGAACATGTGCCGAAAAGCCTACGTCTCAAGAGAACAAATTCTTATAGTAGCGCTATTACCAGACATCTCCTTGACACGAGTCATGAGGTGGAAATCGAGAAATCCTTCAAAATTATCAATAGACAAAGGAACCCGATTCTCCTCAAGTTTTCCGAAGCAATTTCTATCAAACGCCTGAAACCAGATTTATGTGTTCAGAAAGAAGCAGTAATCAGTCTTTCCTTGCCTTGGTAACTGGATGTCTGTTTTTCTCTCATCTGATTACGTAATCTTTGTCCTTAACCTCACCCCCCCTTTTATAATCTGTAATTTTGCTTGTCTCTTGTTTCTATGATTTGAGTTCAACTCAGTACACTGTTACCTAACTTATTAGTCACTATGCATCTAACCCACATCTCATCTTTATTATGTAACTCCTTTACCATTGTATGCATACATTTATTTTTTTGTTTTAACTTGAACTGCCTGTGTAAAGACTATATAAGCGCAATCCTCTGAGCACTGCTTACTAATTGTGAACTTTCTGTCAACTGACAACATGTAAAATTTGCAAGTATGTTAAAACGTTTCTGTACGTAAACGTCATAATTTATTTAGGCTATACGCAGCTGATGAGAAACCAACGAAATAAACAATGATGGTACCATATTATTCTGCACAAATCACCACTGTTGTTCTCACTTTATTCAAATTCATCAAGGGCAATAAATGCATGAAATTAAAATTACTGCACACATTGAATAAAATTGATAAAAGTTGAACTCACCTGTGGAGACATAAAATTCCTCGAAGTCTTTTCATTACTATTACTTATATTATAATTACTAGTTCTTTCTTCATTCGACGAACAGTGTTTATAGGTTGACCAGTGAACTGGTTCCAATCGTTCGGGAGGATGATATTGTGGGTATTCTGCTGTTGGTACAGGTGGAGGTGAAGGCATATACGATGGAGTATTTATAAGCTTGGAATAGGTTTGTGCGTTGTGAGCCTCCTGACTCAACTAGGGACAGTGAAAGATAGAAAATGAAAGATAGAAATTGTTAATTTTAATTTCGCAAAGATTAATTTTTAATTGGCCGCCCCCCTCACCCACCAGTGTTTATTCTATACTGGTTAAGTCAACTTCTAATATGGACGTCTAGATTATACCTCGAGTGATTCAAATGATGCTATTTCATTTAATAGTAGACAGGATTAAACTTTAAGGCGGGAGTTTCGTCCCGGTTTGGACTTCTCACTGGATGAATCCTGTGTCCCTAGTAAATGGATGGCACTTCTACTGAAACTCAAACCTAATGAATAAAACTTAGAAATTTGAAGTGATGAATTCTAGGTCTGAGTCTTAGTGGGAATGTGATTACTCATTTGGGAAGAAGGTATATCCGGATGACGAGTCCCAGAATGCGGCGAAACGCGCATTCTCGAATCTGCTGCTAAGATGAACCAAAAGACAACTTTTACAGACAACTTTTTTCTGCTTACTCTTGCATTTCATTAAGATCATCAGATGATAAATGATTGCTCTGCCAGACTCTGAGAGACGTTTCAAGTCTTGTGGTGAAATTTAAATCGCGGTAATTAAGTTAAATGTACACTGCTGTAGTTCAGTTTAGCTTATTACATGTTCACAGTCAATTAACGGGTGAGGTTTTGTCTGCTTGGACAGATTAGCAATGATAGAGACACGTTGTAAAGCAGGGAAATACTGGATAGCTGTTTCGTCCTAGTTTGGAACTCTTCAGTATAACACAGAAGTCACTGAATGGTCTACATATTCGCCTTGTAACAAGAAGGTTCCGTGTTCGAGCCCTGGTAAATGCGTTCTACTAAAGGGTCGCAGAATAGGACGAAACGGTACTCCCTGTTGGTTCTCATTCGTCCTGTAACTGATGTCAGCTGATGTGATCAAGCGCACTAACAAATCAAATTCCTGTAAACCAGCATTTGAAACATTTCAGAGACCGCAGTGTCCCACCAATGAATAACCACGAAGATATTTCAGAGTGTAATAATAGACCACTGGTAGAGTTATATCATGTACACAGACTAGTCGCTAGATTGTAAATGATGTAATTCTCAAGGTCTTAGATCTGTTCAAAATTCTGTCAATCAGCTGACCAATAAACTTTTACAAAACATAGTAAATTATAGATTAGTAATTAAATTAATAATTAATACTACTACTACAGAGTCAGTAAACTCGATTACTTAACTTTGACAAAATGAAAAGAAAACGTGATTTATCTGAAACGTGTAATGTGTACTTGTGCAAAGCATTTCAGACATTCGGATCACACACACGTACTTGTCATACAAACAATTATATAAAATGAAACAGAATAGAAAATGATCACAATTTCTATCCGTGTCGATGAAGATTTTTACGAATCATGATCACGAATCAGAGGAAGGAAAAAACCAGAAGGAGAGGGAACATTGGTTCTAAATTTTAGGATTATCACGGTAGGATCGTAGCTATGACAAGTAATTTTTAAACACATAGGATAGATTAAACAGTTTTATGCCTAAGGTTTCAATAAACTTAAGATTATATATATATATATATATATATATATATGTTTAAAAGCATTATTGAAATGAACCTGATAAGCTCTCTCTACGATGAACTTAGTAACAGATGACGTTGGATATCCATGTTCAGGAATGCGTTCAACAACCTTGACTTACAAAGATCGTTGGAGCATCCCTATATATGTGTCACCACATATTAGTAAATACAGTGGGATGTGATCCTATCGTTCAGATATTGTGAGGGTTTACAGGCAGGAAACCGCTTTTCTAAATGTCTGAGTAAGACATCTCCAACAGTCAACTTACGTATCACATTCGCCAGCAGACCGTTAATCTAGTCTAACGCTAAGGATAAGGTATCGATTTTGGCCACTTCAATGTGTATTTATGAATTTACTTGCTTTTGTGGAGCAAAGTATATCGGCCGTACACAATGTAAAGTCCACAAACATATTCTGGAACACTGTCCAGCTTAGCTAGCTAGCCAGAGGAGAAAAGAAGAATAGCAGCAGCTCTATCCTCGAATACCTCGTCATCTCCGGATATCGAGTAACTCCACTTGAATGAATGCTTCACAGTGATTAACAGAGCCCATCATTATTGTTCAAAGGGATTTCGCACACGTCATCTGTACATAGCTGAAGCATTATCTATTCGAGATCTGAAACCAGACCTCTGCATTCAAAAGCGATACATGCATTCTCTCGCCCTACCATGGCCACAAAAATGTTCTTACCATAATTTTACTTCTTTCTTTTATTATGTAAGTTCTTTATTATTATTATTATTCCCATCATCCATTTTTTATTACCACTCTGTTACTGTTTATCAGTAACATTGCTTTTCATACAGATTTTATATGAAAGCACTTGATCGCCTTTCCACTAGTTCCTGTCCATTCTACACTAGCTTATTGGTTAGTCATTATCTCACACTTATTACGTCATGCCAACTTTTGCCTCTTTTCTAACTTACAATTAGTCATCCCGTCTAGGTTTCACCTTTCATAATGTAATACATTTTCCTACGACAAAGTTTACCAGTATCTGATTGGTCTAAAGATTTCTTTGTTAAATATAATTAAGAGCTGACATCAGTTAGAGAACCACTGGAAAACCTGGGAGTACTGGACAGCTGTTTCCGGTGGGTGCGTACTGATAAAGAGTCCCAAACTAGGACGAAACAGCTGTCCAGTACTCCCAGGTTTTCCAGTGGTTCTCTAACTGATGTCAGCTCATGATTAATCCTCCATGCAATCAAACAAAATCCCTACAAAACCAATACTTGAAAAATATAATTAACACGATTGTACAGCAGGCCATGAAAATGAATCATCGAAAAGGGGTAAAATTTTCTTCGCTGTTTACGCCTTTTTCTTATGACTCAATATAAATCAGGTTCTATCTATGAATATAAGTTTAGCTACATAGTAAGCTCCATTGAGTAACACCCTAAGTCTTCGTTTAGTAATCAGTATTTGGTAATCCTTCTTGAATGGTGGATATATGTAAATGTCCTCTCTGACAGTTGGTCGGATCGATGCACTCCTTTATTGGATGCTTTTGTAGAGTTTAATTAATTTCAGGAAGGCGGTCCCGACCGAAAGCTGCTACCTTGACGTGGTGGTCGGGCTTGAACACCGCAATGTCCCAACAAGCTATACTGGCTGAGACTTATGTCTCTTGAGGTCCTACCATGCCAGGAAGGTTGTTCGGATAGCGGTTAAACAAAAAGCAGCTACCCAATCCAACATCATGATGCATACAAAATCACAAAATTTCATTCCGGATCTGCGGTGGCCCAGATTAACAACGACCGCGCTTCCTGCTGCCGTGTCACAGGGCAGGAGTGATATATATGCTACTGAGACACACAAAACAATAAAGAACAAAGAAAAGCAGGCCGCGTGTAACCAGCCTCAAGCAGTTGTCCCTGGACTCTGCAGTCACGCAACCAACTTCCACGGTGTGGGCAGCCGAGAAGTAACAATCGCCCTCACAATCCGAAATGCACACAGGAAGGCGGTTATTATCCAGGGTCTTGTACTTTCATTGGACACTAGTGTTAGTAACTGGTGTAATATGTCTAGTCCTCGGCGACGGTGCAGACTGAATTCTATTAGTCAAGTTTACAATGTGACCATCATCAAGCTTGGTGGCTCGCATATCACGGTACACACTTTGAATTAATGATATTCGATAGTTGGAGGCAATCAAGCAGGAAGCCCTGCTTGACCTAGGTTTTTATGCTAGTTACCATTTACCAGTCAACACGGTGTATCTGCAACCGTGCAGGAACTCATATCTCTTCTGAGATTCAAATCGGTGTTACTCAATGCCACCTGCGGTTAGAGACGTTACCAATGAGCTATTCGAGCTCGCGACTGACATTCAGTGATATTCTCTAAATATATACATGTTGACTGCGTCTGAATAAGCACTTTTTACACTGTAATGGAGAGAAACTATGACAATGTGTTGCTTAAGCCTATAATACACGATATATATATATATATATATATATATATATATATATATATATATATATATATATATATATATGGATAAATTATTATTCTTAGAATCCGACTAAAAGTTTAGCATTTAGGGCCAAGTTAAACTTTAAGCACCACTGACCAACTACCAATGGGGTGCATCCGCATCAATGACCTTGAAACGTTCACTGAGCGAGTTAGTAAAACCTGTCAAGTAATGTTGTCATCATCATCATCAATAAAATATGCCCATCGAAGTGTTGTCCTACTAAGTGGGATATCTAGTAAATTTCAGTTTAGGTTTGGGAAGAATTAAGTTACGGTTTAAGCCAAGGACAAGTTAGGGGGTTAGGTATACCTAATAAAGACGATATTAGAGTTGGTTCAACTTAGATTACAGTTAGTTGAGGGACTTCAGGTGAACATAGAGAAAATAGAAGTGATGGGGATTCCTGGGCAACACCAACAGCAGCAACAACAACAGACAACAATCAGCATAAATGAGAGGAACCTGAAAGAAACAACCTCTTTTATCTACCTGGGAAGCATCGTTCCAACCACATGCCTACCGAACTGATGAGTATATCAAAACAAGGATCGGGAAAGCAAGACAAGCTTTCATTACCCTTAAGTCTGTGTGGAGGTCAACAGCCCTACTCAGCATGAAAAATAAGATCCGGATTTTCAACTCAGTGGTAATCACTATACGGATAAGAGACTTGACGCGTCAAAAAGAGCACCTCAAACAAACTACAGAACTTCATTAATAGTTGTCTTCACTCAATACTCAGCTCAAGACCAGATGGCCGGCCAGAAAAGATAAGCAACAGGGATCTCTGGCAGTGAGCGAACCAACCAGGAACCGACTGTGAAACAAATAGGCAGGAAGAAATGGAGGAGATGGATTGGCCGGCCATACTCTGAGGAAATCATCAAGTGACATCACAAGCCAGGCCATCGCTCGAGTGGAACCCGACAGAATGGGAAGCAGCAAGTTAATCGTTAGTATGAGGGTGACTTGGAGGAGATCATATGGAGAGGAGATGAAAGCATGTGGGCAGACTTGGAGCCAGGTGAAAAAACTCTAGCAGAGAACCAAACGAAATGGAGACGCGCGACTAAAGCCCTATGTTCCTCTAGGGATTAGAAGAAATAATAGCAATAATAGTTTAGGGATATTTTCACATTAGGGTTAGGCTCAGCAAAAAGATTAGGGTTATAGTTAGGTTTAGAGGACCTATATAATAATAACTGCATGCATAGAATGCGGTTAAATTAATCTACTGATGTAAGAATAGAACTTGTGCACTGTGGCGGTAGAGTATAATTCCGTTGTAGGTAAAATTTATTTTGATAAAGTCTCACAGTGGTGTTATACAGTAATATTTACTGATGAGCACAATTTATTGCTCAGTAAATATTACTACTGTATAACACGATGTGAGATTTTATCAAAATGAATTTTACCCACAATGGAATTATACTCTGTTGATACTCCAACACTAAAACTGAGAGCTACTTTTTATCACATTTGAGGGGAAGGTATCCTGTGTAATGAATGCATTTCGTTTTCATAAATATATGTGTATTCCAAAGACGCGAAAATGCCTCCTTCACGCGATTAGTGTTTTCAAGGTCGATCGCTGATTGGTAGCGGTTAGTTAGTGGTGCTTAAAGTTTAAACTTGGCCACATCTAGATTTGTCTGTTCGCCGTAAAAAGTTTACCCATTCAAACCCTATGACGTATTACCTCAGACATCCAATTTATGACCAGACAATCATGGGTGCCTACTAAATCCCACGGAATAAAATCAATAATCACACTGTACGCTTTTGCCGATTCTTTATAGTATTATCCAAGCATCACTGAAATAAGAGTGTCACCTACCTATGCCCTGATACACTTATGATGAAAAGCAGATTACAAAGGCAAATAACTTACCAGAGGATTTGAAGATTCCTTGACCAATGGATAAACTCCATTCACATTCCTGCCAGCCGGATATGACATATTTACACCAGAAATAGGTTGTGTTGAATACGAAGATGATGACAGATAGTTTGTCTTTTGTACAGATGTTGTAGTAGTAGTAGTAGTTGTTGTTGTTGTTGTGAATGCTAACGTCGTTGTCGATAACTCAGGAGAATCGAATGCTGCTTGATAATCATTTGTGAATTGTGAAATCCGTTGATGTACAAATGATTTTGTTGGCGGTATAATATCATTAGACATAGACGAGTAACCAGTTGATGATGTATATGATTGTACAGGTTGATTAGTGTTCAGTGGATTAGTTTGATTTGTAGAATACGACTTGGTTGAGATACTTTTGGGATTCATGGAAGGATGACAGCGAGAAAAAAAAACATACAAATTAAGAAAAATTAAAAGGAAGAAACATTTTTTTTTTATCAAGAAGTACTTGATATCGGTTAGAGAACCATTGAAAACTAGCAGGTAGTTCTAAACAGCTGTTTCGTCCTAGTTTGGGACTCTTCAGTAATAATCATCCATGATCCCAACAATTGAAATCGAATCAAGTACATTCAGGTTACAAGGAGAGATTGCACAATATTCAACCATCAAGACGAGATCCAGTGTCCAGATACGGGTGCGTACTGATAAAGAGTCAGAATGAAGTGGGGTGGGGGGAGTGGTGAAACAGCTGTCCAGCAGTACATCCTGCTTTTCAGTGGTTCTCCTGACTGATATCGATCCGTGGTCAAAATTTTACACATACATCATTTGTGTGCACTTTATGGCAACAGTAAATTTATCAAACTCACCAAAACATTTTTCGGCGCTAAACTAAGAACAAATCAATAACAGTTACGTATATGAGATTGTAGCTATTTGAAACAAGTTTTCTATGTGTACCAGACTTTGATAAACACAGTGATTGTAAGTAGACGAGGGATTCGAACTTGAGGGTCGGGGGCAGGGGAATAGTGCATTGGCTAAAAATCAGTTGGTTAAGTTATCGCTTATCTACATTTCTCAAAAGGCTCTTAGTTCGCTAGTCACCATCCATCAATTCATTTCTAATTACATGCCCAGACATCGTCGAAGCATCCGTACAAGAAGCAGCCGACATGTCAACCTGAGACCGAGCATTTCGGTTCAGTCAATCGGCACTTGTGGCCCAAGTGGTTTAGTGGATAACGCCTTGGCATTTAAAACTATGAGGCACTGGGATATCGAGCCTTGGTGGGAGCATCATCACTCACTGGAGAGTGCAGGTACATCCAGCTAGCAGACAAGTCCCAAATAGGAGGGCGAGATGCGCGTTATCCTGGATTCCACTGCTAGTCACCATCCACCAATTAATCTCTTAGTCTGGTACATGAGAAATTATGTTCACTCCAAGTAGCTGAGTTTTAACAGCAGTGATACGTGCAGTATTGCATGTATTAAAGATTTTCACAAATCCCAGTCAGATCAGTGAATATATACACACACACATAGCTATTGTACATCAATTCAGAATTGTCACAGTTAACAACGATGTTTTAAAGAGGCCAGAGCGATTACAGAATAGAAAAGCTTTCATTTAAGCACTATCATAAATTATCCAGGTGAACAGAGCCAGTCATCTACTAATTAACCGATTAAAGAAAGGAGGAACACAATTAGACACTTGAATCAGACTATTGTATTCAAGGACCTCCCCGAGGTCCTAGATGAGTCAACTTCCAGTTGGTAGTTTCTGTTCATCAGTTAGGAGACGAAAGATAATTACCCAACCAGATGACTTTATGAGGAATTGGCGGTACTCGAAGAGAAATCATGCCTACTTTTATTCATCAACGTTGTATATATGTTAGCCAGAACATTTGTAAGTGAAGACCTGCAGTAATTAATAATCAACAGTGTTCACCCTGAGCTGTTCGGCTTTGAACAGACAATCTTAAGTCGCTAATCAATATTATATTGATTCGACTTGATAACTGAGTGATTTTCTGTAGATCACGTTTATCATTTGACTCTGTAGGCTGATTGATTCTACAACGTATATTGTGTGACAGGATTTCATCATGAGCTGACATTGGTTAGAGAACCATTGGAAAACCAGCTGGGAATACTGTATAGCTGTTTCATCCTAGTTTGGGACTCTTCTTCAGTACACATCCTCCCCACTGAGGTTCGAACCCAGGACCTTCTGGTTACAAGGCTAGCGAGCTCGTAGACCATTAAGCCACTTACTGCGACCCGATCCAATGACCAGCCCATGAATTCTAACTTCTGCCAATTCACAACATAGCGCGACTCCTAGCCAAGTATACTGTTTAAATTGTTACTGTACATACTAAAGCCTGATCAAAGAGAAATCGTCATTCCCATGAACGACTTCGTACGCCTGAGGGTGGGTAGACTTAGGTCTCTCACTCTCCTGAAATTCTCTCTGTATTCTTCATGTGGCCAAAAAATCATCGCTTTCGCCTTATGATGCTTACAAGCAGACTGTTGGTGTACGTGAAGGGGTCTACCTAAGGAAGAGAGCTACAAAACCCTATCAATTATCAACCTATGTGGTGTACATGGTCTCCATAATCCGAACAAGTTGATCATCAGAAACCATGGGAACTCAGCTCCTAAAGCTTCTCCACAAAAATGTGAATCAAACTTCGAATCACAGCTTCGTAAGGGTTGGCTAGCCTCTTAAGACAGTCACCTATTTCTGTTGGGACACCCAGGTAGTATTCCAGACCTCCTACAAACTATTAAGTTCTGTGTAGTGCACCTCATTGGGTCCAACAACAGTGTCGTCTACACTAGATCACTTTCAATTTGTATCATTGTAAGATGACACTCATTGTATACACCGCTTTCGTATTGAACAGAAGGCATGAAAGTATTAGCTCTCGTCTGTCAAGATCAAAATTCCAATGTACCTCGTAGGCTATGAGTTTTACACTTTATTGTTCAGGGTGCGTGGGGGTTGGTTGGCAGTCACACTAGTTGCCTAGGTTTAATTAAGTAAGTGGATACGAGATATGAAATCGAGTACATTAAAATCAATTTAGTTAAAATTTGTAAATACAATGAGGAAATTTGTACAAAAAACTACGGGAACATTTAATACAATTATGTACTACAAATGAAACCAAAATAAAACACCCACACCCACACACACAGAAAAACCCGTCAACTAAATACATAGAGTGCATAATATAAGTGTATCTATGTGCATATCTTTGTATTTGTGTGTGTGTGTGCGTTTATGTGCATAGGAACACATGCATTAGACATTGAAATCGAAGATCCACCTCTAATGTTGAACAAGTACTATGACTACAAGCACTACGACACCGACTACCACTACTACTACTTACCGACCACGTTGAGGGTCTATATGTACATTTGGAAGATCAGTTTGTACAACTGGTCCATTGACCATCGTCAGGGACTCTTCATTCCATCGATTAATCGATACCACAGCATGTGAAGGTGGTTTTAACGCCTCTGATGCTGGTTCCTCTTCATACATTAATGAATTCGCCGAGGAATTATTTTGATGATAACTAACTATTGATGACAAATTATTAGGCTTTAAATGATTCTGATCTGATCTGATCTGTGATATTTCTTCAACAGGCTGATCATTTATTCTAGACGACGTAGTATTCTCAAATGGGCGTGGAAGATAGATGCTTTGTTCAGTTGGATTATGGTTAGTATTTTTGAAAGATGTTGGCGAACTGTTTCTATATGAGTATTTGTGTGGTTAGACAAGATTTAATAAAGTGTTTGAAATTATAAATATATATATATATATATGCTTATGGTTTGAGGATTCCATCTTGAGCTGACATCAGTCAGGGAACCATTGGAAAACCAGGTGGGAGTACTAATTCCATTATGGGTAAAATTTTGTTTTGATACAGTCTCACAGTGTTATACAGTAATTTTTACTGATGACGTTTCAACCACAATTTATTACTGCTCATAATCATATCAAGGCACTACTCACACGACTTCCTAACTTCATTTATATAGTTCCATTATTTTTCACTAGATTTTCTCTTGGTTTGATTGGTAGTAGTATTTTCCATATTTCGAGTATGAGTGATGAATCATTCCTATTACATGTGTTGGGTGTAGACTCAATGAACAGGAGTTCAGTAATCAACCTTTCTATCCATCTACCTACGTAGGAATCTAAACACTGGATGAAGCAGGATTCAGTAATCAACCTCTCTATCCACCTACCTAGATTAGAATTTTAACCCTCTTCCACCATGCTATTGTGTGGTTGTGTGTTAATGCATGCATTGCAGTTGCTGAGCTTTTTTCTAAATTACTTATCATTTCAGGGTCAACCATTCTTACCTTAGCTAAATTCTTATGCTCTGACAATCTGACTACCCCTGACCTACTAGTTTAACCTATGTAGTTGACCTCACAGTCATTGCATGGTATTTTGTAAATAATATTATTTTGTCTAATTGGGTCAACTGCGCCCTTTAACCTACAGAGCTTGTCCCTGAGTGAGTTTGTAGGTTTAAATGCCACCCTAATTCCTGCTTTATTTAGAATCCTACGTAGGTAGGTGGAGAGAGAGAGGTTGATTACTGAATTCCTGTTCATCGAGTCTACACCCAACACATGTAATAGGAATGACTCGTCACTCATACCTGAAATATGGAAAATACTATTACCAATCAAACCAAGCGAAAATCAAGTGATAAATAATGGAACTATATAAATGAAGTTGGGAAGTCGTGTGAGTACCTTGATATGATTATGAGTAGCAATAAATTGTACTCGAAACGTCATCAGTAAACATTACTGTGTAGCACTGTGAGACTTTATCAAAACAAAATTTTACCCATAATGGAATTACACTCTACAACAGTGCACAAGTTTTATCCTTATATCAAGCTGGAATTACTGCCAGACAGCTGTTCCATCCAGTAGGGTACAGCAGGTTGAAGGTGAGGCATTAACTCATCGAAGGAGACATTACGAAGCGGTCTTACTATGTCGTGAATTCTCAGAAGTTGGGATTCATCATTTGGCCATTGAATCAGTTGGATCCCAGTGAGTGGTTTAATGGTCTACGAGCGAGCTCGCCTCGTAACCAGAAGGTCGTGGGTTTGATTCCTGCAGTATGGGTGCATCCCAAACTAAACTGACGAAACAGCTGACTGTCCGAAACCCCTGTGGCTGGTTTTCCAATGGTTCTCTAACTGATGTCAGCTCATGGTGGAATTATCTAACCAATCAAACAAAATCCCTACAAAATGAATATATGATGTATATCACGGAAAGGTGAATGACAGTATAAAAACATCTTAGACAAACTTTATTAGCAAGTATTGGGATTGCTATACAACTGGCTATCGACGACACCTATTAAGTGAGGGTAGGAGATATGGTCCGGAGTGCTGCTCAAATTTCAGTAGGTAACGTAGAGTTTAAACCTATGGCCCAGTGATTTCAAGTAGAGAGCTAAGACTAAAGAGCATTAGGCACAAAAAAACTTCAGTAATGGCAGCCGAGTTAATTCAACGAGTAATAACAATTGGTTCCCTACTGTAAAATCAATTTTTATAACTTTAGATAGTATATACTAGTGATATACCATTCAAAGTCAATAATTCAAAATTCATGGATGAACTGAAGCACTTTTGGCGGCAAAAGTTATTGTTTGAAACGACCTACAGGGAATTGTTCTACCGCTGTATGCATACATACATCTATATGGTGACAAACCAATAGGGGTTTGTTCACCCGTTAAACAATTAGCCAAATTTGTTACCCATAAGCTAATGATATCACATGATATCATCCATGAACAACCTGGTAAGTCCAAGGGTGGGTAGACTTTGGTCTTTCCCTCGACATACTGTCGAGTGATCACGCGTTCATAGCTTCTACAAGGCAAGTCCTATTCACTACCTTCTCGAGGAGGGGGCGTCTTTCTCATATACCTGAAAGAGCTAATGCGAACGTCTGGTGAAAATTTCAATCTCCCTAGTAAGGGAGCTGGAAAACTATGATTCCGAATCTCGAACATTATGTGAACCTGTTTTGGACACCGACAATCATGGGGACGCAACTCGTGACGCTACTTCACTGGCTTGTAGATCAAACTTCAGGTCACATGCTAATTTTCGCATTTATATTATTATTGTTTCCTTTAGTTACTAGAGGAACACTAGGCTTCAGTCGCACGTCGCCATTGCGTTCGGTTCTCTGTTAACGTTTTCATCACCTGGCTCCACGTTTGCCCACATGCTGTCATCTCTTCTTCTCTTCATGATCTCTTCTTCCATGTCACCCTTCTACTGATTACCAAATCGCCACTTCCCATTCTGTCGTGTTCCACTCGAGCGATGGCCTGAGGTGTGATGTCACTCTCTTCACGGTTTGTTTACTCAGAGTATGGCCACAATCCACCTCCATTTCTCGCTGCATATTTGTTGCACCATCGATTCCTGCTGGGTTGGTTCGTCCATTGCCAGAGATCCCTGTTGCTGATGTTTTCTGGCCGGCCATCTGATCTTGAGCGAAGTATTGAGCGAAGACAGCTGTTGATACAGGTGTGTAGTTTGTTCGAAGTGGTCATCGTGACGTGGCGCAGCGCCCAGTCTCTGATTCGTATAGTGAGTAGCATTGAATAGATTTCACATTGGAGTTTAAAATTCGGATCTTATTTTTCATGCTGAGTACTAAATGTTGACCTTCACACAGATTTGAGAGTAATGAAAGCTTTCCTTGCTTTCACGATCCTCGCTGCTTTGATATCCTCACCAGTTCCGTTCTTCTGTAGTTGAAACGATGCTTCCCAGGTAGGTGGTTAGGTAGGTAGGTAAAGGAGGTTGCTTATTTCAGATTTCTCCCATTTATGCTGGCTGATTCTTGTCTGTTGTTGCTGTTGGCCAGGAATCATCGTCATCATCTCTTTTTTCTCTATGGTCACCTGAAGGCCTATCTTCTCTAGATGCCTATTCTGCCAACTTGTTGCTTTTCATCACTTGCATATCTTCCAGTTTGTGGCGAATCATGTCCAATATAAGATAGTTTACCTATATTCATCAGTGATATTCCCGATGGAAATAATCCTAACTAATATTCAGGCATATTAAACTGAGGGAGGGGGCAGGAAATACAGTGGACGAAACACACTTCATCAGTCCCACCATTCAGAAACACTAAATATAATAAAAAACGATCTCCAGTTACACCAAATTTCTAGGATTATTAATCAAGAATTATTTTCAGGTACAGTTGTCACCGGACAGACAGACGCAATCAGGCAAGACTCCTCAGCAAGGCAGGGCATACCTTCCATTTTGAAAGAACGCACGCCTCCTCTGATATTTGAACCCTCATCACTATGTAATGCCGTTAGACCCGTTATCACAGAGTTATCTATAAGACAACACAATATGTTATGTTCAACTCAACAGTACACTTTATTCTTATTAGATCAGACAATACAAAACATCATTACTCCATAACTATTTGACTAGAGCGGCATTCGATTCCGTAACTTAGCAACTGGAATCCACCAATCGCTAACACTCAGTATTTTAGATTGAGACAGCATTAACAGTAATAATAATAATAACAATAATGGATACGTAATTAAAAAATACATATATACATTCCTCACCTTGAGATTTCGTGTTTCTCATGAATTTCATCCACAGAAGGCATACCGTCTATATTATTATGCATCAGTTTACGCTGATTTCTTTCAATAATATCCCCATGATTAATATTATGATTGTCAGCATTCAATTCTTGACCATTACAACGATCTAAATCTGTTTCACGCCATGCAGGTTTCCAATTCCCTTGAGTATCTTTTCTTGTTGTCAACATCTCATTCTTTGTAGCTTGATAACGAAAATAGGTAAAAATATCTTGATATAGAGAGGTATCATGAATGGTGCTAGCGGTGGTGCTATTGTTGTTGTTGTTTTTGTAGTCGGACATTTTGTCAGTGAGCAGTGTTCAACCTTTTACGACTTAGGAGATACACACATATATATGTATGTATATTTATGTGAACACAGTTCACACTATTCCACTACTTCGTTGGTTTTTAAAAAAATAACTATATATATATATATATTGATTAATAGTGCCTACTCATAATTGATCCTAGTTCAAAAATGAACGGTATTCATCCAATCAAATCTGTTTGTAATGTATGCATACGTGTATGCCTGTCTGTATGGATGTGTCTGTATGTCTCTACGCCTAATTTAATGACTTTTATATGTACATCGAGTACACCGATATAAAAAATGGCACAAATACTATTATTACAACTGATTACGTAATAATACAGATAAATATTACATGGAGGATTTAATCATGAGCTGACATCAGTTAAACCACTGGAAAACCTGGGAGTACTGGACAGCCGTTTCGTCCTAGTTTGGACTCCTCAGCAGTACGCACCCACCGGATTCGAACCCGGACCTTCTGGTTACAAGGCGAGCGTAGACCATTGAGCCACTGGGACCCGATCCAATGGTCCAAAAAACAGATAAATATTACATGAATAGTGTTAGAATATGATAGTAAGAAAAAACCGGTGTCTACATCGAATCAACACGTTTTGAAGCAGTAGAGAAAACAACCGACATTACAGGATTCCATCATGAGCTGATATTGGTTAGAGAACCATTGAAAAACCAGCCACAGGGAGTACTGGACAGCTGTTTTTAGTTGGCCTAGCCTGGGACTCTTCCTCAGTACGCACACACACCGGCAGCTGTCGAACCCAAGACCTTCTGGTTACAAGGATAGCTCGTCGGTGGCACAGTGGTTAGAACTCTCACCGACCATGCTCACAGTCCGAGGTTCAATCCCCTGAAGACGCACACCTGATATCTACGGTCAGCCTGCAAAATTTGGGCTACCGATATCTATGCTGAGAGTTCCATACTTGTACCAAAAATACAGCATGGAATCAAGCTATAATCACAAACTAAAAAAAATAAAAATAAAATAGACCATTCATCAGCCACTAGGACCCAACCCAATGGCCAGCCCATGAATTCTAACTTCTCACTATAACCCCAGGTGACTACCTATCTGAATAGGGCAAGCGGCTAGTGAACATCTCATTGATATTCAAGCGTTGGTATGTAGAGATTTGATTGGTAGCCATTCAAATCTCTACATACGAACACTTGAACAACCAACATTCTTTATTGGAAGAATTCATCACAAAATAACACTTGAGAACTGATGTAAGACTAGTTGTGAAAACATGTACTCATGAATTGGTAGATGTTAGAATTCAGGTGTTGGTTTGCAGGGATTTGATTTGTCTCCACACTTCATCATGAACTGACATCGGCTAGAGGACCAGTGGGAAACTAGCAGGGAGTATTGGTAGACAGCTGTTTCCTCAACCTACTTTGTACCCTTCAGTAGTAGGCGACTACCGCTAGCGTTCGAACACAGGACCTTCTGGTTACAAGGCAAGCTAGCTCGTAGACCACTCGTAAGCCACTCACTGGGACCCGATCCAATAACTAGTCCATAAATTCCAGCTTCTATCAATTCACGGCATGGCTACACACCACTAGTCACTGTCATCGGTACAGGCAAACCTGATGTACCCCATCGGTCACGCTACTCACCAGAAACCAGGTAACTACCCACTGGAATAGGGTCAATCACTAGTGAGCACCAGATTGGTACTCAATCGTTGGTTTTCAGGGATTTCATTTATTTGTTTCAGGATTTCATCATGAATTGTCGTCAGTTAGAGGACCATGGAAAACCCAGTGGCTGCGTACTGATGAAGAGTCCCAAACTTGTAGGAAACAGCTCTCCAGTTCATGATGAAATATAGAAGTTATAATTTATAGGCTGGACATTGAGTCAGGTCCCGGTGACTGGTGAATGGTCTACGAGCTTGCCTTGAAATTTGTAGACCGTGAGTTTGAAACCCGATGGGTGGATACTGCCTATTAGTCCCAAACTAAGATGAAACAGCTGTACAGCAGTACTCCCAGACGGTTTTCATCCGTAATCAGACTAGAACAAACCAGATACCATCAAACAAACACTCGAAAACTAACAAAAGTTATCAAGTATGGATTTTCAGATATTCGATTGGTTACAGGCAGGTTTGATAAAAAAACAGACTCCGGTTAGAGAATCATTGTAAAACACCACAGGCTACTAATCACCGTTGTTTCGTCCTAGTCTGGGACTCCTCATCAGCAATTACCCACAAAGTCATCACCAGGGGGGGGTTACAAGGCGAGGTCGTAGACAATTATTGTGCCACTAGGATGGAATTCCATGGCGCATCACTTCTGACTTCTGCCCATTCGCCGTGTACACCACTACCACTACCTATCAGGCTCGCCAGTCTTTTAAACAGGTTTCTGAGGCTCTCAAACTGATATCAGTCAACGATCTCACTTGACACCAACTACAGCTCGACTCTTATGGGTATTTAGAACCATCCGTCGAAATTTACAGTGGCCTTTGTAAATGGTGTTTATCCATAATATGACAGTTTTTTGACAAAAACTCTGTGATTTTATACAGCCGGTTCCCTTTATAAGTTTGAATAAAGGAGGAAGAAGGAACATATATTTGCAGTTTTGGTAATAAAGGCTTATTTTATTTCGTGGATTCTCTTCTGCTGCACACACACCCTAAATAAATCAATAATAGATGTTACAAAATGGTGTCTGAACATACCTATTTTTACAATGATTTCAAGTGTTATAGATAGATAGAAAGTGGTATAGGCAACATAATTTCAAAGATGATATAAGTGGATGAATTAGTCAGTGTTTAAAGGGTAACTGTTTATAAAGTAATTAGACAAACGGAGGTGATGTTCAAATTTCTCTCGGAAACAAACATTGACTGAGATAAAATACAAGATAGAACACGACAGAGTTAATTTATACATATAACGGTGGGGAAGAGATCAGGAGAGTCGGTGGGAGGGGGGGGGTGAATAGTAAAGTAAATTATAAAATAGATAAAATGATTTAATTTTTTGATAGAGAAAGAAAGACCAGATTTGCTGTATAAAATGATGCCATCATTCTATTTCACAGGTTCTCATCAGCTGCAAACTGCCTGAAATTACAATTATTTTTTTAATTTTTATTTTTGATTACAGCTTGATTCCGCACTGTATTTTTGGTACAAGTATGGAATTTTCAGCGTGGATATCGGTAGCCCAAATTTCGCAGGCCGACATAGATATCAGGTGTGCGTCGGCGTGGGCTCGAACCCCGGACCATGTGCATGGTCAGCGAGAGTCCTAACCACTGTGCCTCCGACGCACAATGGTTATAAACAGTGATAATATTTCATACTTCATTGTTTGAAAGATAATAAAGAAAGCATTATAAGGTGAAAGAGATGAGAAAGCGATGTATCCAACAGGTAAAAAGAACAAAGTGTTCATTTGCCTCCTATACAAAGGAAAAACAGTATGGCAAAAGATTCAAAAGAGGATGAAAGGACCAATAAAGAGATGCTTTCCTGAAGCCAATCTGGTGACACTATACAGCACTACATGCTTGCTCTATAAGCCAATCGAAACTGGATAAATACCTTGCTGATGTTACCTCCAACTACACTTATAAATTTATGTGCATCTGCGACAGCAAGTCCATTGGAAGGACAGAAAGAAGGCAGGACCTCTATCCGGTGTTTTCAGAGCATATTCCAAGAAACTTATGCGCCTTAAAGGAAGCAGATATTTTTACAAAGTGCAATTATCAGACACCCACACTGTGGATACGGGTCATTTGTCGAGATTTCCAAATCCTTCAAAATATTAAACATACAAAGGACAGAGAATCTACTACGATTTACTGCTGAAGCAATTGCAATCAAACGTCTTAGACCAAACTTATGCATACAGAAAGAGAGTGTAGTCAATCTCTCACTCCCTTGGTAACAATATCACTTTCATTACACTGATTAGTTATACACACTAGTGAGCTCAACTCACTAAGCAAGTTTTCAAATTGATGAACTTTGACCTTCTTAAGTTGCCATGTTGACACTGTCTATTAGATTTTTCTGTTTTCTGTCTTCTCTCACCCCCACCCTTTTTTCTTTTTTCATAGTTTGGCAGTATATAAATTGATGGTGACTTAGATTATGCTACTTATAGTCTAGATGCGTTCACCTTATAATGTCTTCTCTATTACCTTTCAAACAATGAAGTATGAAATGTTATTACTATTTATAACCATTGTAATTTCAGGTAGTTTGCAGTTAGCTGATGAGAACCTGTGAAATAGAATGATGGCATCATTTTATACTGCAAATCTGGTATTTCTTTCTCTATCAAAATTTATCAAGGGAACCAAATGTATGAAATAATTTAATTAATAGATTTGTATATATATATATATATATATGTCTGATTTCCCACAAACTGGAAGATATGCAAGTGAAAAGCAACAAGTTGGCAGAAGAAGCATCCAAAGAAGATAGGACTTCAGTGAACATAGATAAAACAGAGGTGATGAAGATTCCTGGCCAACATCAACAACAACAACAGACAACAATCAGCCAGCATAAATGGAAGGAACCTGAAAGAAACAACCTTCTTCACCTACCCACCTGGGAAGCATCGTTTCAACTATAGGCCGGCGGAACTGACGAGGATATCAAAGCCAGAATCGGAAAAGCAAGACAAGCTTTCATTACTCTCAAATCTGTGTGGAGGTCAACAGCCCTACTAAGCATCAAAAATAAGATCCGGATTTTCAACTCCAATGTAAAGACAGTCAGTGCTACTCACCATACGGATCAGAGACTTGGCCAGCGTGTCATAAAGAGCACCTCAAACAAACTTCAGACCTTCATTAACAGTTGTCTTTGC